CTAAACATCTACTCTCCTAATCGGATCATCAGAAGTCGACGTTTAATGGGACCAAACCAACTAAGATGAACTCTCTCTAATTTTGTCCGTCAATGGAGCTACATACCAACCCCATCACGAAGATATTCATTTCTGATTTTGTCTCTAAGTGTAAAGCCACCCATCCATCTAATCATTCTCATCTCGGCAACACTTAACTTAGTATTATGCTTCTCTTTAAAAGGCCAACATTCAGCGCCATAGAACATTGCAGGTCTCACCACCATCTTAAAAAATTTCCCATTCAGTCTAAGCGGTACTTTTCTATCAAACAAAAGGCCCAAGGCATTCCTCCACTTCCACCAACCAACTTGAATTCTACTATTAACATCTCCATCTATATCACCATCGCTTTGAACAACAGACCCGAGCTATCTAAATCGTTCACATCTTTTAATAATTTGATCACCCAAAGTTACACTTCTATCACTAGAGCTACTACTACTAAAATTACATTCCACGTATTCAATTTTAGTTCTACTCAAATGAAGGCCTTTAGACTCCAATATAGACCTCCATAATTCAGGCTTTTTCTCTCATCTCATACACGAGAAGGAATCAGCAAAAACATAAACCAAGGTACATCCTCCTGTAAATGACCAGTAAGACCATCCATAACTAAAGCAAAAAGATATGGGCTTAAAGTTTAAAGTTGATCCTTGACGTAATCCAACAGAAATAGGAAAATAATTGGTCAATCTTCTTTCAGTTCGAAAACAAGTAACAGCTCTAGTATACATATCTTTAATGACTTGAATATAAGTCATATCAACACTATTCTTCTCAAGAACTCTCCAAAGGATATCTCTTGGAACTTTATCGTAAGTTTTTGCTAAATCAATAAAAAACAAATGTAGATCCTCCTTATTATCTCTGAACTTCTCCAACAAATCACTCAATAAATCTATAGCTTCCATAGTACACCTGCCTCACATAAATCCTACCCACACATTTAATATTTAAAAATCTATTTTATATTCAATTACCCTCTCCCATTATTTTAAAGTATGACAGAATAACTTAATTGCTATATAATTTTGTTGTTATCATTCAATAACAACAAATTTCTTTACTTTAAAAGATATCACACCTTCGATTAAAATTTTTTTTTTTTAATTAAACTCATGTTCAAGAGGAGAACGGCTAACTGGAAAATAAGTTTGATGTAACCTTTGTCTTCCATATTGACATTTATCACCGAGTCCTACAAAATTTCTGCCATTGGTTTTCTTTAAAGCCTCCTCAACTTCTTTTTTACTAATACGGCGATAAAAATGAACGTTTTATTATTATTAACAATATTAAGATTACTAAGGTCGATCGTATATTTAAGTAACTTTATTAAAAAGTTTATCAAAATAACTCACTCACCTATGTTGAATATCATTTTCTAAGAAAAGTACTTTTTGATTTTCAACTTTAATACACTTTAATTGAGTCAAATCTTTACTTTTCTTTTCTCTTTATTTGTCTAGTTTATACATATATTTTTCACCCTCTTTAGTGTCTAATATAATATAAAGATCACTAAAAGCAAAATTTTTAGCGTCACAGATTGTTCTTTTAAACTCCCTGTGAGTCGTTTGAAATTATTCTCAGTTCTCTGAGCTTTTACATTTAAACTAATTTTTATAACATATCTTCTTATATTTTTATCTTTTCTTGCACATTATTATTCCACCATCAACTATTTTTATTTATAGAAACTTTTTCTTTTGATTCTCCAAGTAAGTCTTTTGGTACTTGTTTAATAGTGTTTGTTACTTTATCCCACAGCATTCACTTCTTTATGAACAAGATATCCAATAAATATGGGCAAGTAAATATTTGGTAGATTGGTAATTATCTATGCATTCCTACACATCATACATACTTGGAACCACATTTGGCAAGATAACAATCGTACATCATGTTTTATATAATATCCAAACCATATCATGTTGAAGAGCTTGAGTTATATGGGGAATGTTAATCACATCCATTGATTTACAGAATAGATTGTTTAATACCAATATTAGTTAGATCATTAATAAAAAAATTTGATGTAAATTGATTGTGTACATGCACATATGTGGCGTGCGTTCTGTTGGCTCTATTGAAATAGATAAAGGATGACTTAATGTTGAGCTTAACGAACCAATTCACTGAAAGTCATTATTTGTATTTCCATTTGACAGTAATACTTGCATTCCTAGATCTATTCCAACATATTACACTTGTTTATTGAAACCATCTTCTCCAAATGTTCAGTTTGCACAAACAGACAAACAAAAAACTATGAATTCGCTGATACTTCACAAAAATTTATCCCAGTGTCATAAAAATTTCATGTATGCAACATAACTGTAAGTGTTCCCAAAAAAGGTTATAATCACTCTATGTATTGTTTATGATTTTCAAATGTCACGCAACTAATATTATTATGTACTCCAGTTCAATCTATAAATCATCCTTGATTCTAAATGATTCATAGTTGCTATGATTACATTTAAAAATTTTGTGCCAGTGCTATGTATATGACCCCAAAATCATGCTATAATTATAACTTCGATTTTAAAGATCATGTTATTCATACAATCAAAATTCCAATTCATTTGATAGTTTGAATCATGCTTACAAATATCATTCCATTGCTAGGTATTAGACTGTAAAATCCATGCTATCATTATGCCTAAGATTTCAATGTTATATTACTGTCATGATTACAAAATGCAAATCTAAACTCCTAAAAATGAAGTGCTAGCATGAAAAGATGTACTCAATAAAAACAATATATGTATGTGCATGTCAAGAAATTAATAGTAACACAGTTGAACACACGGATTTACGTGGTTCGACAAATTGTCTACGTTCACAGAATTGCAGAGGATTTTTCTACTTGAGGAATTTACATCAGTCAATCGACTCGACTTATAAGGGGGATTTTTCACTTTCTTGCTCTCTCTTCTTCTCTTTCTACACTCGCTCATGATACTAGATAAGGTTGCCAATGCATCCATACATTTATAATTAGCATTTCTATCATATTCCACTCATGATACTAGATAAGGTTGCCGTTGCATCCATACATTTATAATTAGCATTTCTATCATAAACACTACAAGCATAATTGCTGCCCCACAGTACCAAGTAAGGTTGCATTGCCTAGAGGTGACTTACGTTTACACCATTGACATGGAGCATAATCAATTATATTTTTGTAAATATGATAGATGTCTAGTGTAGCTTTAAATACTTCGTTCAAATGTGTTATTCATGGAATCATAGAATTGTGCAGCTTAATAAGATAAATATTTTGTTCAGGATCATATGACAATGCATATGCATATTACATAAAAACGTAAATTTTAGTATCTTACAATTATCTTGAAAAAAATCGAAAATTAGCAGTTTGCTCATATCTTTGAAGCTTACTTGGATTGTTAAACACTAATATAAATTATTTTATAAAATGATAATATGTAATTTATATAAGATGGAACTGTCTATGTATTACAAGTTTGTCGCTTGGCACATTAACTTTTGATAAATGAAGATCAAGAACGTGGGGTGTCAGGATCCAGTCTAAAATCCTACTGGTGAATTAGAGCATAATCAATTATATTTTTGTAAATATGATAGATTTCTAGTGTAGCTTTAAATACTTCGTTCAAATGTGTTATTCCAGGGTTTGTTGGAATCATAGAGTTGTGCAGCTTAATAAGATAAATATTTTGTTCAGGATCATATGACAATGCATATACATATTACATATACATGTAAAATTTGGTATCTTACAATTATCTTGAAAAACATCGAAAATTAGCAGTTTGTTGATATCATTAAAGCTTACTTGGATTGTTAAACACTAATATAAATTATTTTATAACATGATAACGATGTAATTTATATAAGATGGAACTGTCTATGTATTACACGTTGGTCGCTTGGCACATCAACTTTTGATAAATAAAGATCAAGCATGGGGGGTGTCAGGGTCCAACCTAATAGCTTAGAATTAACTAAGTCAGTAACTGCAGTCGGACGGTATTAACCTCTTCTTTTTTTAACAATAATCCATCATAGCTTCCAATAATAAAAAGAGTCACTAAAGAAAATTACAAAGTACACAAAACAATAATCAAGTTTTACCAAAACAACAATATAGCCTGAAAATAAAATAGTATGCATTCCAACCAACAACAGTCCAACATTACTCAAAAATAACAGTGTAAGAAACTAGAACAATAACAAACAATATACTACCGAGTATTAGCAGTTTTCCTCTTATAAACCAACACTCTCCTATCAAAAATATCAATCTAGAGTATTCCCTGAGAGAAACAATTAATTTCAACAATAAATTCACCCCCACTTAGTGAGCAATTATAATTTTATCATGCATTAAATTAATATGCAAATGATATGCATGAATGTCCCAAAAAAATATGACTCATTCATTAATCAAAGTGTAAGCTTTCATTTTAAATTAACCATTCAAGTTTCAATTAAAGTATTTATCATTTTAATCTTTTTAAGAAGTCATATCAGTATCATCATCATACCCGAAGGTATCCAAAAAATTATAACTGTATGCACCCTCAAAAATTTAATGAGTATAACTATCATTGCCTTCCGATCCAGATATCCTTCTATTGCATCTTTCTAGCTTTAATTAGCAGTAAAACATACGTGAATAAATAATACTTGATAATTTAATTAACTGAAAATACCAAATAAATACTAACCTTAAAACTCTGGTCGGTTGTCCCTACTCACAAACACACGAGCTCCCTTTCTAGCACGAAGGCTCGACTTCTTCTCCCACACACAAACCACCACCTTTTATTATTCCTTCGCATCGGAGCCCACTCGAGTCCTCTCTTCTCCGCACACAAGGGCTCAGCCTCGCCACCTCTTCTCTCTTCTTCCCACACGAAATCCTCAGTTTCAACTTCCTACAAGAGCGTTGAATTCTTGGTAAGAGAAGCAAGTGAGAATGCCTCCTTCCTTCTCCTTCGCATGGAAACCATAAAGACTTCTTCTCCTTCGATTCGACACAAGGGGTCACTTTTCTCCCGGTCGAGGCATCTTCTTCTTTGATCAACTAGTGCACTATGCTTCCTCCTCTCGCATCGCAATCACTTGTAAGTTCCGTCAGTTCTTCCTTCTTCTCTGTCTTATGTTCTTGCTCTTGCCTCTCTGGATTGCTTCCTTGCTTATAGTGTTGTTTCGAAATGGGGCATACAACTGTTAAGTCTTTCAGTTCTTCCTTCTTCTCTGTCTTATGTTCTCGCTCTTGCCTCTTTGGATTGCTTCCTTGCTTATAATGTTGTTTCGAAATGGGGCATACAACTGTTAAGTCTAATAGTACAATAGAGACGTGTCATTTGATTATTGTTACTATCTTTATTTTTCTTTTCAAATATGACTCTTAAGTCTCAGTTATTACAATCTCTCATTCTTATAAAATGTCATCCTCGAAATTTGAAATAATTATAAACAAACATATCTCAAATGAAAATAGTTGTGGATATCTTCTCTATATATCTAAGGCTTTATCTCAAGTTGCATTCTTTTCTAACACATACCTCCATGGAATTTCTACAAAAGGAATCTCCCTGCTCCGTAGTTTTTTTTTATTTCAAAGTCTAATATCCTCTCCAGTTCCTTTATATATGTAAGTAAAAATATATGAAAAATAATATGTACTCCTTGCATATGAGCTGATAGACCTAATTTATAAGCCGTCGTCTAATCCTCTCCAAAATCTTATATAAATCTACATATCTGGAGCACAATTTTTCTATCTTTCAAAAAACTTTGCCCACCCTTCGAATAACTTTAATAAAAATAAACTCTCCAACTTCAAATTCAACAGGTTTATGCTTAGCATCATAATATTTTATCTGACAATCATGTATTGTCCTTAATCTGTCTCTGATCAATCTAATATTCACTAGCATCATCAATCAATTCAGCTCGAATGACCTTTCTTTCATATACTTCAACCCAACATAAAGGTGACATGCACTCTCTTCCATACAAAGCTCCATTTGAAGTTCCCAACACTAGCCTGATAATTTATTATTGTAAGCAAATTCTATCAAGGTTATTTTTGATTCCCATCCTCCACTAAACTCAATGACATATATCCTTAATAGATCCTCCAAAGTCTAAATAGTCCTTTCTGAGAAGAAAATTTGTACTAAAAATCAATATTGTGCCCACAGCCTCGTGAATCTTCTTCCACAATTTGGAAGTAATTATGTCATCACTGTCTGAAACAATAGACTTTGACACACTATACAATGTTATAATTTAAGCAATATATAATTTGGCTAACTTTTCAACAAGACTTGTTTTTCTAATGGGCAAGAAATGGGTAGACTTAGTCAATCTGTCAACAATTATCCAAATAACATCATGGCATTGTCATAACCCAAGCAATCCAATCACAAAGTGCATGCCAATCTCCTCCCATTTTACTCTCGAATAGGTGAAGGTTGTAATTGATCTCTCGGATGTTGATGTTGGCTCCACTAGCTAATATATAAAACTCTTTGGCCCAAATTGTGCGGCACTTCTCTTCAATCCTATCCATCAAAATATTTATTTAACTTAGTACAATTTGATGCTCTCAGGGTGAATAGTATAGCCAAATAAGTGTGCCTCCTATAGAATTTCTCTTCTCAAACTATCAGCATCTGAAACATAAATCATATCTTTATATTTGAACCGTCATTTCATATCTAATATATATTTCTCCAAATTTCCAGCCTTGATTTAAAATCGTCTGAACAGTGATATACATAGCCAGTGAGTCTTTGATTTTGGCATTTAAAGTGGACCAAACGAAAAACTGATTCAATTGAGCCAAATTGTCATCACCATAACTGATCATATATAGCTTTGGCCTCTCCAAATCCTTAATTAATCGCTCCTGTTGAGTGAATAAGCAGTTCAAATTACCTAAATTCTTCATACTCGGTGCTTCTACCACCATATTTGTCTTTTCCTAGTGATATTGTATATCTAAGTCATAATTTTTAATGAATTTTAGCTATATCCTCTGTCTAAAATTCAACTTTTTCTGAGTAAAAATGTACTTCAAACTCTTGTGAACGATAAATATCTCGTATCTAACTCCACATAAGTAGTGCCTCCAAATCTTAAGTGCAAATACAACTGCAACTGCTCCAAGTCATGGGTAGGATAGTTATTTTCATGATTCTTCAATTGTCTCCCAAGTTGCATAAGTACACACTCCAAACCCTTCAAAGATGTATCACTGAAAATCTGAAACCCATCTGACGCTGAAGAAAAACACAGGAGCATTCATCAAGTAAAATTTCAACTTCTAAAAAAACCTAATCACAACAATCAGTCCAATAAAATTTTATGGATTTTTGTGTTAACCTGGATAAAGGCATAGCTATCAAAGAGAATCCTTCTACAAACCTCCTAAAATAATTAGTCACACTTAGAAAACTCTAATTTTGACTTCTATCTCCTCAGGTTTGTTTATTTGGACAATCTTTTTATTGCAACCAATTATGACAATTTTTAAACAATTAATTCATATCTAAGTTTGTTAAAACTCCACCAAGGTTAATACAATCAGTTGTGCAGCAAAATCCTTTTCCATCAATAATTAGCCTCACCCCATAAAATTGATTAATCTCCATAGAAGTAACATGTAGCATTCCAATAGATAATATTACAACATTAAAGTGTTATTCAATTGCACCACTTTAACCAATTTTCAACTATAAATGAATGTGATACTCCTGTATCAAACCATATTCTTATTGGCATATTTTAAAGATATATGGTACATGTGATAACTTCAAGGCAGTCCATAGCTTCTTATTGTGAAAATGCAAAAATCATGGGTTGAACATTCTAGGTCTGACCTTGGATTGGCATTGATCCCGCGGACTTAGTTGCCCTAAACCTTTCAAAATTTCTTTGAGATGGTATAGCACCACTCTTAAAATCTGTTGGAGCCCTTCGTCCCAAGCTAGGGCAATTCCTTGGCATATATCTTGATTGTTGGCACCAAAAATAAGTGTTGGATCCAGAAAGATATTCACCTTTATGAAACCTTCCACACTTGTCATACTTCCCGACTTCAGTCTTGCTGCCAACACTGCTGGATAAGGCATGTTTAGCATGCATAATTCATGACTAGAAGGACTGTTTGCCTTGAGAGTTCTGATAAAATTTAGATCCCTCTAAATTCCTCCTCTTTTGAAAATCCCTGGGTAGCCTGTAAATATAACTCAATCCCCTGACCCTCTCCATCAAAATAAAGTAATCCTCAATCCCAAAAGGAAATAGTGGCTACCTAATCATATCCTTTAGCCTAGATAAAAACCTATGACACTTCTCAACATTTGAAACCAACTAAGCTGCATACCTCGAAAGCGTAGTAAACTCTAACTCTTACTGCAGGATCGAACGATACCCTGTACTAGCCTAAAAAATTTGCCCTGCATTTTTCTTCTGCTTGACATTGATTCGAACCAGTTTTTAAAGGTTGCCACAAACTCATCCCACTGCACCAAATGATTGGTTCTATCTCCAAACTTCTCTTGCAACAATCCTTGCTACAATCTTTTAGCATATACCTCAAATGCAAAAGTGGCAAGTGTAACCTTCATTTCTAATGAACAATACAACAGTTCTATAATCTTCTCAAAAGAGAGGTGGTCTAATATTCAATAATAACATCAAATATTTGTTCATCTAGCCTCCCTAATAAAGTTAGCTTGAAATGATGAGTTCTTAATCATCCCATTCATCGTGTGTGTATCAGTCTCAGTCTTATTTTGTCTAACTTCTTCTAGATTATCCATATTTCTGAACTAACATATCAAAGATATTAATATTCAATAAGAACATCAAATATTTGTTCATCTAGCCTCTCTACTAAAGTTAGCTTGAAATGGTGAGTTCTTAAGCATCCCATTCATCGTGTGTGTATCAGTCTTAGTCTTATTTTGTCTAACTTCTTATGGATTATCCATATTTCTGAACTAACATATCAAAGATATAATTAGACACAATTTAACACTTTATTTATATTGTCAATTAATTAATTTAATCAACCTAGTAGTTCTTTTTTAACATGATTCAAATATAAATGTTTTGATACTACTTTTACCACAAGCTAGCTTGTAGCTTAAAATTAATCAAGTCAAGAACTGTGGTCAGACGATATTTATATTTCTCTCTTTTTTTACAATAAATCATCCTAGCTTCCAATAACAAAAAGAGCCACTTAAAAAATCATAAAGTACACTAAACAATAATCAAATTCAACCAAAGCAAAAATATAGTCTGAAAATAAAACAGTATCGTAATCTAACTAGCAACGGTCCAATATTACTCGAAAATAACAGTATAAGAAGCTAGCCCATAATAAACAATATATTACCTAGTATTAGTAGCCCCTCTTTAAAACAATTCTCTCATATCAAACATATAAATCTAGAATTTTGTCTAAGAGAAACAATTAATTTCAATATTTAGTTTACCACCACTCAGTGAGCAATTACAATATTATTATGCATTAAATTAATATGCAAATGTTATGCATTTATATTCTAAAAAAAATGTGATTTTTTTTAAATAATCAAGCTGTAAAATTTCATTTTAAACTAATTCTTCTTGTTTTAATTTAAGTATTTAGTTTTTTAACTTTTTTAAAAAGTCATATGAGGGCCACCGTCATACCTGAATGTATCCTAAAAAACTAATATCTATATGTACTCTCAAAAGTTTATAATTGTAGATATCCTTAAAATTTTAAAGCTAAAGATACATGTTTATCATTTCTATTTCTTTTTTCATGCACGGGTATAATAGCTTCCCCAACTAGTAATATAAAAGGATAAATCCTAATTAGCTTAATTATTTATATTTCATTTCCTTTTTATTATATCTATTTACAATAAATGAATAACCATTTATCCTACCCGGTTTCATTTATTTTCAGTTCAAAAATCCTTTAATTTTCAACATACATATAATAAGAAAAGCGGGTATATTAAGACACTAATAAAATTCCTTTCTAAATAAAAAATTAATTTAAAACAAAGAAGAAAGTAATTATTTACCTTCACCTTATAAAATGATTCTTTAAAGTACTTTAACATGTTGTCTTTATCTGGATTCCTGTAATTAATTTAAAACATAGCACTTAATATCTATAACTTCGATTACATTTAAAGATTACTTTTAACTTAAATAACAAAATCCTAACCTGATTGATGAGTCCAACTATCCTTGCTTTTCAGTCCAAATATCTTTCTATTGATGCTTTTGCCTCCTCCTTTTATTCTTCCTTCACAATTGAGTTACTTAACTCCTCTCTTCTCCACGCACTAAAGCTCAACACGCCTCCTCTTCTCTTCTTCTTCCCACACGAAGCCCTAGGCGTCAACTTCCTACAAAATTGTCAAATCCTTGATAAGAGAAGCACGCAAGATTGCCTCCTTCCTTCTCCTTCACCGGGGAAATCCATAGAGATTTCTCCTTCGGTTTCGATGTAAGGGGACGTTGTTCTCCCGCTCGAGGCTTCTTCTTCTTTGATCAACTAGGGCACAAAGCTTCCTCTCGCATCGCAACCGCTTGTAAGTTCATTCAGTTCTTCCTTCTTCTCAACCTCCTATTCTAGCCCTTGCCTCTCTAGTTTGCTTCCTTGCTTTAAATGGTGTTTTAAAATGTGGCGACTCTTAAGTCTAACAGTAGAGACGTGTCATTCGAATATTATTTTCTTTATTTTTTTTTCAGTTATGACTTGTAAGTCTTAGTTATTACATGAGAGATTCACCCCTTCCATCATAATTATTTGTTCTCTCTTCAAAACATATAATTTCCTTGATCAGATGACTGAGAGAATATAAATATGATTGTTGATACAAAAAGCATGAAAGTTGCATGCAATTTAAATTGGTTGTTTACTTAACAGGAATAATAAATTAAAGATAGAGAAAACTAATTTTATCAATGGTAAATTATAATAATGAGAATGTTTTACTAAATCAGTTGACATTTCGGTCTACTTTAAAAGGAAGAATCAGAGTTTACTGGGCAGATGCTTTATTATTCAGAAAAAAACTTAAATTAAGTCAAGTCAGGCAGTTTAGAGGAAAAAAAATAGATAGAGATGAATTGCTAAAATACAAAGACATGATTTAAGTTCTAGATGTTAATAATTTTAGAAAACAAATCATAGAGTTACATTTGTCTGCTATACACTTCATCCAGAAAGCAATAAAATATATCAGAAACTTAAGAAAATATGTTGATGGCCAGGATTGATGTGAAATATTGCAGAATTTGTGGCTAAATGTTATACATGTAAATTAGTTAAAGTAGAACATCAAAAACAAAGTTGACAGTTACTTTTGTTGCCAATATCATAATGGATATGTGAGGAGATAGCAATGAATTTTGGTATTGATTTGTCTAAAACAAAACAAGGATGAGATGCTATTGAGATCAATATAAAAAGATTGACTAAATTTTTCAAATTATTGTCGATCAAATAAACATATCATGTTGAAAAATTAGCAAAAGTATATGTGAATGAGATTGTACAATTGCATGTGATACCAAAAATCATAGTTTCAAATATAGATGACGAATTTATTTTCAAATTATAAAAGAAAAGTCAAAAAACTTTGGGCATAAGGTTAACTTCCACTACTTCATTTCACATTGGGTCATCTGAGTTTCCTCTATATACATATACAACCAACTGTACAAAATTCTTTGAGCTTTTTGTTGTAATTTTCTCACATGTAATCTAATCTCAAGCGCTTAATCTTCACATCAAACTCATTCCCTCTAATTTATTCATTTTTTAACATGAAAATAAGTCATTTATTTCCAAAAAAAAAAAAAAAAAAAAAAAAAAAACTTTTTACCTTCCAAGCAGAGTCATAAATGAATATATTAAAATCAATGAGCAAATAAAGGATGCCATCAAGAATGACCAACAATCATTAATGTACATAAGCTCTAATTCCTTACTCTTAGGCTCACTTTCACTTGATGAAACAAAATTTCTTTATACTTTCAATCTTCACATAAACCAAAAGTCATGTATTTCAAATTTTTAAGATGTGCCAACTGAATGCAATTCCAGCATCCAATTCTTATACATGTCTCAATCTTCTACTTCTGGTTGTGGTTTTGCTCAATGAGAGAGAGGTTTAACTTTATCTAGTCTAACTACTCTTATATATTCTTCCAGAACATGAAATCATACTCTTAAACATTGTCAATCTTCATCTCACCATCCTTGGACACCATTGCTCACGTTTCCCTCAAGACCTCAAAAGCCCAACAATGAGAGCAACTGTTAGGGAAAAGTATGTAAGTGATAGCAAAGATGAAAACAGGACCAAAAAATTAATTTGCAAACAAAAACCAGAAAAACAAGAAACAAAAAAAAGTGATTGCACAATGACTGCCTGCTCGCAGCCTCGTCAAGAGAAAGATATTCCCTCTAGCCCAAAAACAAGTAAAAAAAATTAAATATAATTCAATATTTTTCACCACTATATTCACTTATCTTTTTCTTTCACCCTTTCATTCTCTCTTGAAATTTCTTTGGCAACATTCAACAAAACTCAAAACTCAAAAAACAAGAAAAAATATAACTATATAAAATACTATATAATTTAATATAAGATAAATATTAAATACCAATAGTACATATTCAAGCTTCGAAACTTAAGCTTCATTAATGTGTTGCTTTCATCTCTTTTCACTATCATCCATTATCTCACCACTCATATGCCCTCTGAGGTAAAAAAAAACAATAACCTTTTATGTTGAATCACCTCATCAGCCATCAACCCTTGGAATAATCGTCATTTCTTCTTATAAAGGCCTATGGCTTCTGATCGTAACATCCAACTCAGTGATTGTTGTCAATCACCCGCAAAAAAAAAAAAAAAAAAAAAAAAAAAAAATTTAATAAAAAATCCACTAAGACTACATAGGTTAGGAACCGCCTATATAATCTCTATCATTGTACCTAATTGAAAGAAAGAAAATATTAAGAATTGTACTTCAATACCATACAATTATCTCTTTTTATAAACCTTAAAGGTGATAGGTATATTAACAAACAAAATAGTAAGACTATGGGTTGAACTATATGACTTGAAAAGATTAGGTAAAGTTTGAAGATGTTTTAAAAGGTGTTTATTAAGACTATGTATTAGGCTTTAAATTTAAAATTAGTGAGGAATTTCTCCCTGCATCTTAACACAATAGGGCCTAATTTGATTCAAAATGATTGTCCTGTGACTTAAATGCATTAAGAGGGTAGCCCTTTTGTGCAGGACACTTGCTCTAAGGACAATATGTCAAGCACAATATTTTATGTGTTTCATTTTTTCTTATAAAAATTTTTCAACTTATTGGATACCACAATGTTCAAACACTTATTTGCACCACTTGAACAAATGTTGGGCATATATTAAAAACATATTATATCATTTTAAGTCTTTAACTTTGAGAACTATAATGTCGTCAACATAATAAGAGCAATGACATAGAAGTGAACTCAAATAATCAAAAAAATACACTTGCTTAAATGATATAGTCTTCATATATGTTAGATGTCGGGGGTCATAGTGCTGAAAGAAGCATATAAGAAAATATAGTTACATCAACAATATATAGAAAGTGCTAGATTGCTTCAAGGGCAAGGACACGGGAAAGAAAATTTCTGGAATTGAAAAAGATAGTTGTCCGCCAAAGCATCACAAATGAATATAATGGGACTTAAAAGAAGCAATCTCAATTCGATATAAAGTAAACTATTTGTAACAGAAAATACATGGGAATGTCGGTTTGACTTTCAATCATCATCCCATCGTATTAAATCAGATCTAGGAACCTCAATCGTTACTACTCGCTCTTCAATGTCATTAACAATACCACGACACCTTGGGAAGCCACAATAACATGCCAACTCATCCTTTGAAAAGAACCTAGATCAAAGGCAACAATGAATAGAATAGTTTAGTACCTATGAGGGAGAACAAGAAAATTAAAGTGCGCAAGAAGTTTTCCTTACCTATAATCATATGTTAGCTCCTCCCATTTGCTAATGTCTCGTTTTGCAAATATGATAATATGTTCATCACCATTAACACTGATCACTCTTGAATAACAATTGGGCTGTCAAATATATAGGATTATATTCCACATAAGTAACAAATTATGGCAAATTAAAATGCACACGTGGAAAACAAATAAATTGGCAAAGAAAAAAACAATTGAGCCAATCTACCAGTTCCAAAAGTCATAGCCACAAAAATTGTCAGAATAACTATGTGGTGAGAGCATCATATCCATATTATTAAAGTAAATGGCCTACAACGTTTCAATAAAAGTCAAGCATAGTTCACAACAATATATCAAAAAATAAATAAATAAATAATCTAGTACCTCCTAACAAACTTAATGAAGAAGCTTTGTACATTAATGCTAAAGTGGCACTTTTTCCATGGATATCTCATCTTAGCTTAAGGGGATGAATTTCAACATACAAGAAGCAATTATTGTTTCATCAAATCCAAGAAATCAAGTTGCAAATAGTCACCTTCCTTTACTGATGTTGTATTTTTCCTTCATTCTAAATGTTTTATGCAAATCAAACTGGCAATGAGATTTATAACCAATAGGACGCGAGTTTTCCTATCCAAAGACATATTAAAGAGGGGCTGGGGTCTGAAGGGGCACATGTCCCCTAAAATTTTAATATATTTTATATACAATAATTATACGTTAGTAAATCATAGCTGCTTGATGTTTATGATATAAAAATTCAATTTATGCCCCTTCCAAATAATAAAATTAGTTTATGCACCTCCGTTAAAAAAGATATGGCTCTGCCAACATTTGTATCATTTATATTTTTTCTCCACAATCTATCATTTCATAGTTTATCACATGCTTATTTGATGTTTAATGAAAATGAAAAATACTAATGCTCCCAAAGAAAAATATAAAAGCTGACAAAGTAACCATAAAGACTTGAGCACAACTGTTCCGTGATTATGACATTTCCTACATAATATATTTTCATCAAAAATAAATGCTCATCTCAACTCAAACGCTTCCTACAGATCAGGAGTTCATTACTTCAAGTTGAATCAAAATTGGAAAAAAAAAAAAAATGTATGATACTAATGGGTTTAAAATACTAACATAACATATTTCCAAACAACATCCAAACCCCAAAAAACATAAAAGCAACTGAATGTTGTGTTTATAGGGAGTGGGTGTTGAGCATGTAAATCTTATATATATGTATAAATAAATCTAATAAAAAAATAGAGAAAGAAACTTACCACCACACCAAATACGTGCCTTCCAAATTACTCGTCCAAATATTATTTCAATCCTCTTGTATATCTCACCGGCACGCACAATTTTAACTATTTTAAATTGCTTCAAAAAAAATTTAAAACATTTGAACTATGTGCATCCATGCCCTCTCAATGATTTATCTCTTAAACTCCCTGACATACCCATTTATCTCTAATTCTCCAATGATCCCCTCCATTTTCTCAACCTTCTCTCTCTCTCTCTCTCTCTCTCTCTCTCTCTCTCTCTCTCTCCATGTATCTTTCAAATTACTCATCCAAATATGGAGGCTTAAAATTTTGTTTGATCTAATGAATATTGTTGGAAACTTTAACTGCTCAAAATTGTTATTAAGGTCATTGCTCCAAGAATTGTTCCTGAAAAATTCAAATGTGTGAGACTAAATAATAAAAAGGTTGGAGAGATTCAATTGAGCAAGTACATGGATTTTAATGATTGCGTCGATAATAATGGCATTAGGGATCTTCCCAGGTTTAGGCTTTCTTACTAGTCATTTAGCACACATCCCAGTCAACCTAACTTAGAGCCCTTACCAACTCTCAGATGATTGGACATGTTATGCTTCTTTTGCAACCTCCAACTATCACTTCTGATCACTCTCCCTTGTATGGTATCAATGGCTCCATTAATTTTAACAAATATAAGTTCATTTTCAAGAATTGTTTACCTCCGCAATTGATATTTTAACTATATTAGCACTACAAAAAATACTTCTGTTTCCAGAGATCTCATTTTTATTCTTTACAAAAAATTGAAAACTATCTAGCATGATTAGAAATCTGCTCCTTAAATTAACGTTAATCCTTTTTCCATACTCTCTGCCTATCTCAAAGATGGGCAAGCTCACAAATTTTTTTATGTCCTGCAATATTTTTAGACACATAGTCTGGACAATCAAAGACCATTCCACAATCAAAATCAGTGTTAAAACACTATAAAAAAGGGAAAGCAAAAAACCAACACACTCAAGGTGTCAAGATAAAGGTAAAAGGAAAGAAAACAAAGTAAAGCCTCCAAGTTTAACTATTACTTCACAGGAGTGGTTAATAAGATGAGCAATGCTTCCTGCTTTAGTGGCATCAATGACTCGTTCATTATCAATGCGAAACATGTATGTTCCAGCACCCTACAAAAGCAAAATTTTAAGTATCAATACCATAGTAAATAAAATTCATTGTGAATGACATAGTAAACTTTGAATTCATAGGTAAATATTATAATTAAAACAAATGAGGGTATTTTACTTTAATTGCTTGAAATAGGATGTATTTGACGACACAATTACAATTAGTCAAAGGCCAACACAGACCAAGTTTTAGATATCATTGTTATTTAGATAATTGTTTTGTAGATAACAATGTTATCTATAAAATAGCACACTTGATTTAATGTTAATTTGTATAACCAAAAAAAAAAAAGGTATTTAGGACATTCAATGATGATTACAACATTTCATTTTATTATTATTATTTTTGGTCTGTTCATTAAGACTGAGGTAATTAAGATAACAACTAATTTGTCAGGTAATGAGTTTACCACGATCTGGCTTATAAATATTATTTTGATTGCATCAACATATGAGTTGAAAGTGAACTAAACCAATTTTTATCATAATATAACAAAACAAAGAAAACACTAACTCAAACAACAGATAATTTCACGTGGCGGTTGATACTCATAGCTTGTTCAAAGAAACTTGGATAAGTAGAGAGATCACAAAGACTAAAAAAAGTTGATCATGTCTATACTTTAACAAATTCAAAAAACTCAATTTTGTTTGCTGAAAAAAAAAATTAAAAGGACAGCTTTTTTAAATTATGGGTCCCTTTTTCAAGAAGAAGATTAATTTTATTTTAACCAAATTTTCTTGATGCTTGGATCAAGATTTGGTCAGACACGGGGCCTAAACTTCTTCTGGGTGCGAGCCTCCAAAATTAATTAACCCTCTAGCTTATAGAAAGGCACTTTCAATTAAGGATAGTTGCAATGGCTCTAGCCCAAGCTCAACATTTGGGTTTCAATAATGGGTGAAATGTTGGGGGAATGGATGTGGGCTCGATTAAGATCCCACGGCTACATCTTTCCAAAAACAGAGGATTATAAGCTAATTTACTCTAGAAAATCTGCTTAGCAATCATGAATTGCTTTCCCTCAAGTGTTTTAAGCAAAATAGAATGAAATCAATAAATGCATACGGGGCTTGATTTTAAATGGAGAGCTTATTGGCACAAGGGCAAATTCTAACATAGATTTGGTTTAGAGCTCACATCAATTAGAAGAACCAAGTTTAATTAAGGTGGGCAGCATGGCTCTATGTGCAAGTTGCCGAAGAAGTTGGGCCATACAACCTTAGCTTTTAAAATTCTTTTACAACTCACATATTAAAGTCAGACAAAAAGGTAGGCTTTTCCAACCATTGACTTTTATAGTTAAGAAATCCCGAAGGCTAAGGTTTAATTTATTTGATGAGTCAAATGACTTTGTGTCAACTTGATGAATTGAGATGAAATGAGGGCTTAAATCCTTTGGAAGGCCCAAATTTGGAGTAGTCATTTTGAACTTTCATTGGGTTATCAAAACTAATTATTATGGTTATACATACAGTTTTCAGTACATCACATGTTTATTTAAATATTCAATAATAAAAGTATGATGGGCTTAAAAAGTCATATTATAGGAGATAAGTAGACAATGGCATGTTTAAAATACCGAAATAGGTGGGTGAACCTCCTTTGTAGAAGTAAAAGGGTCCTCACTATAGTTCAATAGTGACAAATCAGTTTCCACATGGGCTCCTTTAAACTTTCTAATATAGCGTTTGGGATCAGTTTATATTCTATATTTTTTAGTCTAAAATTCACAATCTTGTGATAGCCAACAAGCCTATACAACCATATATCATACATCTAAAGCTTAAGCGATACCTTGTGGTAGAAAATAAATATGCAATAGAATCATTTGATATAATTAAACTAATGTTTAAGTAATTAAATCATGGACAGACAAACGTAATGAGAATTTTACATTTGGAATTTTACAGCGACATCTTTGTGCAAGAAAAAATTAATATTAATCTTTATAAAATCGAATTTTTATTCTCAGTAATATGATAATGTACTATTCAAAATATGTTCAGTCTCATAATTATGTCCAATCATGATCAATATAAATGTTTTCTTCTTTTTTTTGCTCGAGTATTTGAATAATATATTAGAATTGTTTATCTTGTTGAATCTCATAGCTCATTAGATTATTATTCTTATTCTTTTCAAAAAAAAAAAAAAAAAAAAAAAGATTGCGACTGGAGTAAGAATTAGATTCAATTTTGCTATCATATTTTTATCATCCACATTATTCTGGTGAGTAAGACACCAAAATAAATGTTGGAGATAGATTCAATCAGGTAAGTCGTACAAGCCTCTATTATGTTCAGCATCAAATTAAGAACAAGTTGGCATAGAGTGTGACAGGTATGATAAAAATAAACGAAGAATCGTATCAATTGCATTGTTATGTGACAACAATCGACAAGGAAGATTATGAAAAAAGATAGAGGAAAATCTTGTCGAACCAATTTTTGTTGGAATTAGAATATCTGAAGAAGAGAACATTTACAAAGAAATGAATGGCAAGGCCAATGGGAAATAAATATTCACTTACCACTAGTGAATTATATATGCAATGTTCCCTTATATCTGCAATTGATGGTCGAACAAGTTCACCGGAATATTCAATGACCTGAGCAAGAATTTGTGAGTGCACCCAAAAAAAATCAAGTATAAAAAAATGCTTTCTCATGTATATACCATATCTCCAGCCCTGTGTGGAAGCTTAGCAAAAACGCCAAATCCATGGATTCTTGATTTCCCTAAAAATATCAATAATAGTTATAGCTATTAAACAGAGTTTGCAAGCAAATAAAAAAGCAACGAGTATGCTTAGCAACCAGAAACTTCCATCAAGATTCAAACAACAATAATGGTTTAAACATTTATGAATATTAGTTTTAAATTTTGATTTTTAAAAAAAATTATGATTCATGAAAAAGAGTTGTATTATTTTTATAAACAAAAGTTACAAGTAAAAAAACTATAATGGATCATCTTGCTGGAATTTTCAACTATCCAACAAAGAAAACTCAATGTATTAGAATAAGTTGAACCAAATAATATGATAGTTTCTAGATTAGCAAATTAATGTAATAAGCAAGATCTCAGAAAATAATACTGAACAAAATCAAAACACATCCGTCACTAACATTTATGGTTCAAACAAAAATTTAAAAAACTCAATTAATTAGTACACCCATTTAAAGAAACCACCATCAACTACGTCTGATGCAGACAAGCGAGTGGAGAAGATTTTATGGAGGTTAAGATATCTTTACATGGAATCGCATGAAAGAAGAAAGACTACAAGTTACACTGAAAAAGTTCATAGAATCACCCAAACAAGAAAGCTTCTCATTCTTGAGGGTTTTACAAAACAAAATACCCTCAATTAGGCCACTTGTTAGAATTTTTACATAAAACATAAGGCTCAAACATAACAAATCTAAAAAAAAAACTAACATAAACAAGGCATGTCCGCACAAATAAAATGAATGTAACCAAAATCACCAAAATATTTAAAAAAACCTAGTAACTAAAATTTCCTTAAATAGAAAATTGACACAATAGAAAGAAAACCATTTATCGTGCGTGTTACTTGGGCAATGATAATGTCATGATCATTATCATTAATTTCATCGCAACTCTTAGGGTTGACCATAGAAATCAACATTCCCAAATCTGTTTGTTCAATGCTACATTATATGTTAAATATATTCTATACAAATCTTTTGCAATAACTTCAATCCATATTAACTTTATTCTAACATACTTCATTCCTAATGCTCCATACTAATCTTATATGCCCATCTGACAGTGCATCTTCTGCCCTTTATTGTATGTGTCTAATGTCTAAACCACATAATTTTAATCTCCACAAAATTATCTTCAAGGGGTACAAACCTCGACATTCAATCTATCCTTTCTAATTTTGCCACACATTTACCTTAAATTTTCCATTTAGCCTCAATAAATTTGACTTTCAATTACTTTTTATTGATCAACAATCAAATCTATTACATATAATCCGTCTAATTGCAATTCTATGAAAGTTATCTTTAAATCTCCAAAACACATGCCCTAATATTCTTTAAATCATTTATCCATTGTAATCATCCAACTTTAATTATAGATTTATAATTATTCCAATCTTTCTTATGATTTTGTACGATAATTCTAAGATTAATCCGTCAAACATATATATAAATTTATCTTGTACTATTATGAGTTGATAATTGTTAATATCAAGTCCGCTATAATTGCATTCAAATTCTAATTCAATAGATGACTTGCCAATTAAAATTTTGTTATCTATAAAAAGCATACATAAAGACACCTCACTTTGAATAATCATTGTAAGAATTCTCTAACTAAAACAATTAAAATACAAATCCCATGTTACTTCTTGATGCATTACAATTGAAATTGGAAATTTAGCACTTCATAACTACTACTAATACTACTTATAACTCATTCATATATATTCTAAAGAATTTAACATACATATAGCGCACAACTTTTCTCCTTATTCATCAAATCATTTTCATGGCACTTAATCATAAGCTGTATCAAATCTATTCAATTAATTAACATAGCATAAAAATCATTGTCCTAGAGAATTGCATAAAGCCAATTTGACTAGCTAACACTAAGCATTGCACCATCTATAACTCCACTGACTAATTTATAAGTTTGATTCTTTATAACTATCACATCTTGAACATATCATTTAATATTCAAATAGCAGTTTCATAATGCATCTTCAATCATTTGAAACAATGTTAAAATCTAGCCTTTACTTGGTCGTATATTAAATGAACTAACTGAGAATACGCTAAAGGAAGATATGTCGTACGCTCAAAATTGGGCATTTAGATGGCTAAAAAGGAGGGGTGAAGTTCAACTTTAAACTTTAGCCAAACCAATATAAATAACGTATACTATTGACTTATCTAATTTATTAATTCCTAATCACGTGAATGTCCCTGCAATCAAAAATATAAATAGCAATAACTTCAATGGAAGATATATTGTCTAAGGAATCAATGAAAATAATTTATAATGAAGATGGAGTTAGCACAACTTCATAACAACAAGAATTGTAAGGAAGATAATTTGTTTTTAAGAATATGGAAAAAAAAACGTGCAGGGAACTTTTCTCTTTAGTTAAAGTAAAACGTCAAGTAGAAGACTTGTAAAAAAAAATGCACATGGGAGCATAGAGAAGTTGGGATAAAAAAGTTATTCTATGAAATCTCATTACATGAAGATAAAAAATAAAATAAAAATGACTTTGCTATAAATTAAATAAAACTTGTGGATCAATGAAAAAACGCAAAGATGGTGGCTTTCAGAGACGATGAACAAAAAAAAAGTTTACAAAAAAGAGGTAAATAATTGTGGAAGGAACATAAGCTACAATTCTTACCTGAGGAAACTCCTAACCCCACTTAAGCTTTACCCGAGTTTTTCCTCTAAGCAAGAAAATGGGAAGCTTAGCTTTAAAGTACAAATTATCCAGAATATTTTTTACTTAGAGATGATATGACATACAATTAAAATTTTTACCAAGAACCAACCTCATAATTTTTCATTAAAATTAATTTTTAACCAAACAATTGACTCCTATAACTCTCCAAATATTAATGTGCATCTTCTATGAACATAAAATTTTACCCATACAATCAGACAAAAAAAAAGTGAAATCTGAGAGAGAAACCTTTTAGAGAAGGAAAGATGATGGTATGCAGCTAGATGAACAATATACGGGCTTCGAGGAGGATCCACTACCTGCTCTCAATCAAGATACAGACTCACCAATTAAAGGTAAAAAAGGCTACAACTCTCCCAATAAAGAGGAAAACAAATAAAAACGTTCAAAATAACATAAAAAGCCAACCAAAAGTCCCTAAACTAGTTTTAAGTATTAACAGTACCATAGAAAAATAACCCTAATCTTATCCCCAACTAATAAGAAAGCCCTATGGGTTGGGCGGCACCATAGGAGCAAGAAAATACCGAATTAGGATAATTTTCGGCCTTCTTGGTTCAGTCTCGGACTGAAGCCTCACTTTAGCTTCAACTTTCGTCTAGAGAAGAAGTCATTCCCGCATCAAGTTGTAACATTTACTTTGCTAAATACCCTCTTTAAAAAAAATTTCAAGCATGCTATTTTCAAGCCTATGGAGATTTCAAAATAGTCATTTTTAGCCATTTTTTAAATTTTGTATAATCCTATGGAGATTTCAAAATAGTCATTTTTAGCCATTCTTTTAAAGCATGCTATTTTTCTTTAATGACTTTTAAACCTTCTCATTATAACATACAAACTCCTTACTAATATACATTACTTCCCATACTCATTTAAAACTTTATAGGAATTTTCTTGAAAAATTTTCCATCAAATTTACATTAGATTTCACTAAGTAAGCAACTTCAATTTTCCTCTCTTTGAAGTCCAACCGGAAAAACTAACTCCTCTCTCCTTTCAGGTTTCACGATCATATCCTACAGAAAAGATTTCTTTTGGTAATTACTTTACACACCTAATATATAAGTTCATAATAACTCCTCCATATAATGGTTTAAATTATTCTAAAATCCATCATACTCTTTGTTAAAAAAAATACTCTTTTATATATAAATAAAAGAGAAATATATCTACGGCTTGGTGGGTCCACATTAAAAATTAATCATCACTTCTTGTTTATTAAATATATGTTATTTCAAAATAGTAGGCACAACAAAATTAAGTATAGTTCTTTATTTAATATTCTATTTCATAGATCTAGAAATCCTTTAATATCCACTTTTCTTGAACCAACATGTTCATTTTGGAAACCCCAATAATTATCCACTACTTGGAGGATTTACTAAATTCAGCCAAACATAAAAAAAAAGCAAGTTCTATGGATTTATGAAAGTTCAGATTTAAGGTCCGAATTTTGTCTTTGATTCCTGTTAAATCCGAATTTAATAAATCTAGCAAGGGGTGGATTTAATAAATATGGATTTACTAAATCCTTCATACAGCCAAACATCCCCTTTATGTGACAATTATTGGGAATCTTTTTACATGTCCATTTAAATCATATCCAATAGATTAATTTCAAATATCCAATAAAAATGCCATAAGATCTTCCTGGCATCATTCACTCCATGATTATTAACCCAATTTGAAAAAAGTTGATTGAAGGTTTAGGCATGAAAAACCGAAACATCAATAATGGATCATTTGGCCATTGATACCTCTAAGATCCTTCATTTCTACTTTAGCTTCCAATGTTCAACACATTTCACTATAACAATTCCTAATTGCATAAGTTTAAAATGATAGGTAACGCTTCGAATTTGGATGACATCAATTCTCAACTTTGGATCTTTTTCATGGTTTTTGATCAAGAGATCTTCTTCATGGCTTTAGATCATTCTCTTATGTTAAATAAAATCATCATCAACAAAAGAATTTGATGATATAATGCATTCGATCACTTGTAAAGCATACTTAAAATCTTTAATCTCCACCTCAATTGTCGAATACCCTAAAAAAAGCTCTAAAGATAGATCTTGTTTTCAAGTCCTCCAATTTTTAGCTTTGAATCTAGTATTTTCTTTTCAAAACTCGTCTTTTTTCTTGAAGGATAACTATTCTATTCATGCATGATTTCTCTAATAGAAACTTCCATTTGATTGTTATTAAATGTAAAACTCTCTTATTTCATGCATTTAAATTTGATCCCATGATAGTTGATGATCAATGGCTTAGAAAAATGTTGCAAAACACAAGCTTTAAACTATAATGGTTGTTTCAAGCCTTGAAACTATATATAATTGCTTTAAGTCTTGAAACTTTCTATGTTTACCTCAAATCTATCCAACCTTTCTTTAATTATTAGATGCTTTTTTGAAATTTATCTAAACTTTACGCAATCATCAAAAGTGAATATCATCTCATTCATTGATTTATCTTGCATGGACATGTTCCACACATGAATGGACATAATTGGATTGAAGACCACACATGAGTGAATATAATTGGACTGAAGACTCTAGGATGATGCAAAAGACTGAGTAAAAGGAAATTTAATATAGTTTAGGTAATGTTTACTTGGAATTATTCCAAGAAGGAAACCATTAGCCACACACACCACTAGCCTCAGAATTCATCCAATTCATTAGAAAGCTATCACTTCATATATTTTTACAAATGATGGACAGCTCAAAAACTCCTATCCTAGTTTTCCACAGCAATGCATCAACTTAAGCTCTCATTCCTCTCAAATAAAAAATAGATTCATGTTTGTATTTCAAGAAGAATGTATCTAATCCCAGCAATTCATGATTGATTTTATGAATACTTCCTTCCCATTATTTTCTTATGAAAAAATTTGTGAAAATGGTCCCTGGATAATTGATATGGGTACCTTTGGACAATTGATTGGGGCTCTTTAAGTATCAAACTATAAATATATTTAATCTAGTCCACCGACTTCATAAATATGAACAAAAATAATCCCTTTTTTTGGATTATTTTGAATTAGATTGATAAAGGAAATGGACAAATTTTGAATTAGATTTAAAAAATCAATTATTAAACTAGACGTGTTAGATGGTCGGGATTAAAATTGTCCCCATAAATAATTCAAGTACTATTTTGATTTTTTTTTTTCTTTTAACCTCAAACTATAAATATATTAATGAACATGACTATTCGAGGGCTACAGAGCCTTTTAACACAAAGAAAGTTTAAAAAATTAAAGATCAATTAAAATGAAAAAACATATTGCTACAGAGCAAAAACAAATTCAACTAATACAAATCTAATCCAAAACAATAACTTCGTCCAATTACCACAATTTTTTTAGCAGTACATGAAAATTGAAAGTTCAGAGTCATGGCAGCATTCACAATCCTACAGACAAGTAACGAAGTAAAAAAAGGGATAAAGGACAAGAAAGAGCTTACCAATCATGAATTCATATGATATTGAGCAAAGACAACAAATCTGAACTTTAAGTGCACCCTCATTAAGTTAAAAGATTATCCGGCGGCATGAAAGAAAGAATCATGGCAATTATAACCCTCTTTGAAGATTTACATTACAGAGGTAATTCCAATTGACATTGCTTTCAAATGAATTAAATCAGCATATATAAATCTACTAAATTGTAAATTTACGAACAATTCCGATGGAAGAAAAAAACAAGAACTTACCAAATGCTAATCGTATTCTAAAAGTTGACTTCATGTTTTCATACTTCTCAGACATTGAAGAAACTTTTACAGAAGTTTCAGGTTGACTAATTGATCTTTGGTTCCGAGATGAACAATTTGTTTGCATGGATTTGTTACTTAAAATAGCGGATGCAATGCCATTTTGGCAATAGCCAGTCACAAGATAAGGTCGGTTCTCGACATATAATCGTTTATTTGATGTTGCAGCAAAGATTTGTGGTGTCTTTTGTCCTCCTCTTCTTGAAATATTATAAGGCTCTAAAGGAAAAAAGCAAAACAACCAATTAGAAAGCCTTCCATAAACAACATGCTAGAAATCTAATGAAATGATAACAGAAAAGGATATGTTTATGTAGAAATACTTAAAAGATATATTTTGAAATAAAAGTAAAGGTGGAAATTATTTAGAAGTTTTCCTCTTAAAAGTTAACTACATTAGAGCAGGCCGTAAAAGCAAAAGTTATGAAGAGTCTAAAAGATATACCAGTTCTTGCACAACCAGAAAGGTTGGATAGGGGCACATAGCATGATTCAGGTTTTTCAAGCAATGTTAGACCATCATCATTGTGTGTTCGATCACTAGATGGTTGACTATGCTTCTTGCAAAATGAAACCAGACGAACACATTGATCATCATCATCATCAAGTGACATCAAATGAATTTTGTTCTCATCTTCAAGCTGCAGGAATAAATAATGGTATAGTCAATCAAGATTGTTTTCTCACCACCCAGACAATACCAAAAGGAGCAACAACAGATTGAGAAGATAGATGAACAAAATGAGATCAAATAAAAAGCTACCTCAACACAATAACCAGCAGCACGGGCACAGAGAGGATGATATGCCACGCAGCAAGTACTGTTAGAACACTGCAACAGACATGTATTACTTGCATCAAAATTTCTTAAGATACGTGCAAACTAAATAACCCATAGCGCACAAAAAGAAACCAGAAAAAAAAAAATAAATAAAAAAAAAAATTGGTAAAATAAGTAGAAAGAATTTGAATAAAAAAGAAATTTATCCTAATTTTTGAAGTAACATAGAATCATGATGAGGCAGCATATATTTTATGTTTTACCTGGATGCATGCCCCATAAGTTACATGGCAGATGCTACACAAAAGTTTCCATCTATCCTGGCACGTTTAAGTCAGATGAGTTAAATACAAAGACACTCAGAAAAAATTGTTGATTGTCCAATGACAGCCACAGTGGTAAAAAAGTAGATGATAACCTTGTGTATTCTGTTTACACCATCAATGGGTTCCATCTTCTTCACATCAGTTAAGCAGGTTTCTGAAGGGCACTATACTATATTAATGGCGAAGTATCAATCAAATTTTACATCAAACTATAAACCACACTAAGAAATTTCTGACAAACCAGGAATCCATATAGCACAAGCCAGGTGAGCCCATTGACCATCAGTTGTAGGTTTCATTGCACCACCTGAAGCCAAAAACACATAAATAGAGGTCAGAATGTAAAACAAGAAAAAGAGCATTACAAACTGAAGGTCAGAGAAAAACCTATGACAGGGCAGAGACAGCATAGCGGAGAAGATTTAGGAGCCCTATTACGACATAAGTTACAATGCCATAACTCCCCATCCATAGGTCCTAACTCACCATAGCATCTGGCATGAACCTGAAATGATTAAAAAAATAGAAAAACATGAGCAAACAGGAACAAGCAAACTGATAACCTATAACGTAAAATCAGTCAAATCAAACTTTATACCATCATACGACATTTATCACACTGCAAGAAAAGATTTTCCTCATATTCCTGCAACAAGAAAGCAAAGTTTTGTTAAAAAACTAATTTTATGCAAATCCATCAAGAACTGCATTACAGACTGCATCACAGACAAAATGAACTTAAGCAAAATAAAATTGATACGATAAAAACTGCATAAAACAATCAATTAGAGAACAATTGACACACTCCATAAGTAACATTAGTGAGACAAAATGGATTCCATTAACTACCTCATCCATATGACAAACATTGCACCTGTCAAGATCTTTCCATTCAATTCGAACAGCTCTATAGCCAGCAGGTAGAGTTTCCCCATTCTTCAAGCCTAATCTACACTGAAAGAAAATATGACATGTTGAAGCTGACAGTAAAATTCAAACAAAAAAAATTAAAGCTGGGCTGGATATCAAAGCTTCCTACTTTATGCCTAATCTGCAAATAATAGCCAAACTACAAATCAACAGATATTTAAGTTAAGAAAACATTACAAGATATTAATGCAAAAGAAAAAAAAAAGTTCACACTGACATGAATAAAGGATATACACAATCTAGCGCAGTTAAAGACCGACATAATGCAAAAAAAAAAAAGGGAACTAGAATGTTATGTAAATACTCATGTCAACCATTCCCAATAATCCATTCCAAGCACCTTCTACCCAAACCCTAAGCACCACTTCATGGCTTCTTACATAACACTGATTTATCGATAGTAGAACTTTAAGCTAGATAATCTAAAGCAGAAATGACTGTAGTGACATAGTATGCAAGGCTTAAAAATCAATAACAGCAATAATAGAAGGAAAAAAATCACAACAACAGCAAAAGAAGATCTTAGCGCATACGGTCATTATAACTTACCATATTTCCTATTTTTTTGATGTGATGAAACTTAATTAAAAATTATGGTGCCATTGATTTGGGCAATAATAGAAGGAAAAAAATCACAACAGCAAAAGAAGATCTTAGTGCATACGGTCATTATTACTTACCATATTTCCTATTTTTTTGATGTGATAAAACTTAATTAAAAATTATGGTGCCATTGATTTGGGACAAAATTTAACGATGATTATGAGAAGAGGCACAATCTCCTAGCATTGACTTAAAGTTTTAGGCTTTGCAAAAATAGATGAAGGAATGATTAAAATAGTCAGCCCAATCGCTAATTACTAAAAATCACAGCCAATCAGACTGATGAATCAATGCACAACCAAACCAATTGCCACAAAAATATCCTTGTAAAAACAGTGCAAAACAAACCAGCACTTTAACAAGATGAACTATCAGTGAACACCCTGAAAAAATATAGCTTACAAGAAAAAAAAGAAAAATAAAAACAAAGAAAGCATTATCATTTTCATAAAATATGAGATGCACTTGAACGTAGGACCTCTGAACATGCCTGAATGTGTTTGGATATCAATGGAACTGAGAAGCCGAACATGTAAGTGCCAGACTTCTGCAAATCACATCCTTCCACTTCAGCAAGAGCGCCATAGCCTCGCAAGCACTTTATCCGCTCATAAACTTCCTTCCAACAAGCAGTTGGATTTGATCCATCAATCTGGTATAAAAAATGTAATCTTTATTAAAAATTAAACTACCAACTACATCTGACTTAGTATGACTGATATGACCATGAGGTGCCCTCCTTTGCGCCAAGCCATGGCTGGGGCTATACACTCAAGGGTGCAACTGCAACAAAGCTTCCTCCTTTCACAGTTGGAAGAGGAGGCTGCCCACAAACATGTGGCTCATTTGGAAAGCATATTGGCTGACACCCCAAAAGTGCCATGAGTTGCAGATGTAGTTACGAATCAAAAACAAGACTTGAGGCTGTCAGCATTTCTTTGGTGGTGTTACACAAGTTGCAGTGACCCGAAAAAAGAAAAAATTCCCTGATTCTTTATAGAAGGCCATTTTAGTAATAGAGTCAGTCAACTTAGTCTCGGACTCTTTTAAAGGGGGCTAAAATAGTCCTCCTTAGTGATAACTTAATCCCATTTTAAAATAATATAGGGACTAATTTGACACTTTCATAAACTCTGGACTAAAATGACACAATGTAAATAGTCAGAGAACAATTTTCAAACTTTATTGACCCAAAAAAGAAATTTGGGAAGGACAGCAGGTTAAAAAAATAATAAATCAGCACAACAGCCTGCTCCCGTCTCTCGAGTAATCTGAACCTATTTCCTACTTGTATTAGAACTCCAGGGAAAGTCAAAAAATTAGCATCAAATTATGTACCTTTACCAAACATGGCAGCTTGCTTTTAAAAAACTAGGCTTTCACCCCAAAAACCAGAAGCAGAAATACTACAATAAGCAATCAAGGGCATATGACAGCTATAAGAATAGGTTAAGGAAGACAGGACCTGCTCTCCATCATCTGTTGTAACTCTGAATAATGGCCGAGATATTGACTTGGGATTCCTCAATACTTCCATTTTATATACAGCTACCATACTTGGATCTGAAAAAGAAATCAGATTTTAGAGGTTACCTGTCTTACAAAAGAAGCTAAAAATAATTAGAGGAAATCATGGTTCTGCTAGCAAGGCTGAATACATTGAATTTCTACATGAGTTCAGAAATCATAACCTATCAATGACGCAAATTTCCTATAAGCAGTATATCCTTCAGGCCAGATATGATGCTTCCTATGGAAATAAGATGAATCTCGGACAACCCTCCCTGCAAAGAAACCAAAGCAATGTGAATGCAAATGATTTTCATTTGAAATGGAATTAAAGAACTAAAATTTACAAAATCAGATGCTATAAAGTGTGTAATTAGGAATTACCTAAACTAGTTACGCGAAGATTTCCAATTTCAATTGGTAGAAAAATGTATTCATCTGCAAGTTGGATCAGTTCATCCCCAGAAAGGTCTTCAAAAGCAGAAATACGATCCTCGCTTTCTTCAGAAACAACCTTTCCATGACTAATACCAGTAGCCTTCTGAAACCGTAGCATTCTCTCTGGGAGCTGCTGATTACTCAAGTACCTGTGCCAATTCGCATCATTTCAATCACAAATATAGTCCTTTAGTGTAACGAATTATGAATAGGCATTTATTAAAAAAAAAACTTTGAGAAACCAACACTAATATAAATATAAGAACTTGCAAAAACAAAGGAAAACATATGTAACCTAGAAGAGGTAATAATTTCACTAAGAATTAGAGGAATCAAGAAACCCAAATCATTCTTTTGATTAATCATAAAGCAAGGAAATGCATAACCAAACAGAAACGTGTCAAACATTCCCCTGGCTTTATAGGTAGCCAAATATGTCCCGCTGTCCATAAAAGTGTCAATTTAGTGCTCAGACCTTTTTAATACAGGTTAAAATAGTCCTCCAAAAATCTATTTTAGCCAACATTAAAACTGTCTAGGGATTAATTTGCACTCTTGGAGACTCCAGGACAGAAATGGCTCCATAAAAATAGTTAGGGGACTATTTTGACATTTTACTCCATAACCTAATGACATCCAAACAAATAGTTTCATACTACAACCCTATCTGACTCCAAATGTACGGCTCACCATCACATCAGTCTCTTATGAGAGCATATTCAACTCTTCTTCCTCGAAATTCACTATTATCATCTGATTTCTGCCCAGTTCCATTCCACCATCAGCCAAAAAAAAGCTGTATATGATGGACAGTCAAAGCCAGTGATGCAACAATTTTACTACTGTTCACATATTGGGCCCCAATCCACAGTAAAATGACCTGCCTTTTGTATTGACATAGCTCAGCTTAACCCCATGTCACCACCTAATTGATCTCTTTCGAATAGATCAGCCAAGAATTTAGGAGAAGTCCAAAGCTAACAACATATCTTGTCATTAAAGACGTTTCTTATAACACTGAATTTTTGGCTACTAGATATCCAAATAAATCAGAGAAAAACTATCACGAACTAAATAGAAACTGCATTCAGTAAGAAAACAGTATACGATTGAAAAGCTAAATTGATGAAAAATTAAGGATGGATAGGATTTAAGCACAACGCAGGTTATAAGTGCTTTAAAGAAGCTTGAGTGATTAGCTTGTTGCAAGCCAATTCATCAATCATTGCTTAACACAGGTTTTATCCATCGTCTTAAAAATACTTTTTTTAGCTTCAAAGCAAAACTTTCCCAGTGCAAGCTGAAAATGTGATCTTGAAAGTACTGTGTTTGAAGCTCGTGCCTTTAAGGTTAAACTTCATTCTTCACTTCTAACAGTAAAAAAAGCATTTTCAAACCCAAAAATGTGTGCAGTCCAGAAGTAAAGCAATGGAAAATGCAGCTCTACCACTCCAGCATCACTGCAAAGCGAATAGTAAACATCCTCCTTCATAGTAGTACCGAGCATGTATCACTGACACTGTGCAGACCTTGACATGTAATTAATATATGCACGGTTATGTTTAATTCATGCAGGTTTATGAATCCATGAATGATTTTAAATCTATCAAATTTCAAATATTTGAATAGTATAAACTTTCAAACGTATACACATTAAAACCACAAAAGCTAAAAAAAATTGTCATCATGCCAAGTAATTATATTAACCTATAAATTAAAGTAAACCTTCCTTCTGCAATGAAAATATCTATTTAAATAGAAAACACTTACAGTTTTACTTCATCCAAGCTCTGAATAAAACTACCTTGCTTGCATTTCAGATCAAAAGAACAATGAACGCCCTTACCAAACGGCATAACCTGCTTAAGACTAACCCTGAACAAAGCAGGAAAAATACAGCAAACAAATAAATGGAATCAATAGTTATCAAAGAAAACGGATAAGTAAAAAGAGACTAATGAAACTTTCTTGTTAAAAAAACTATTGATATTCAGACAAGTTAGATATCATAAATGATCCATAAAAGAAGGCTATAAAACCTTGCAAAATTATGTGTTCCAAAAAACTGCACATAGAATGACTGCTCGCGCTTCAGGCCGCTTGCACCAGCACACGGTTCATTCACTATTAGTGCTGGCCAAACGGCATGCCCTGTTTAAGACAGAATCAACAATTAGAACACTGATGTGAATAAGTTTTCTTGTTCTTCGAACAACGCTAACTTAGCTCCAGTGCCATTGATTTCATAAAGATAAAAGTTTCAGAAGCATTTCATTATGCATTGTAGCTAAAAAAAACATGGTTAAAATGACTTACCTGACATAATTCATTTTAGGAAGATTTGCATACATACTACTAAACTCTTATGTATTTACCTAACACCCAAAATTCATTTTTTACCCATATGCCACCTTGCATATGCATGAAATTGTATTTAAATGTTTAAAAGTTAAATAGTGGTATTGTTTATGTAATATGAAATATAAGAGTGGTATAAATGTAAAAAAGCAAAGTTTTAGTGTGAGATATGTAAATACATATAAACTGTGTGGTATGTATGTAAATGCCCCTTCTTTTTATTAGCATCATGAACAGCTTTAATCAATTTTTTTGGTGAGAAATATTCAAGCTACTTATGAATAAACACATAGATGTGCACTTATGAACACATAAATTAAGATAAAATATGCACAAACATGCAACAACATTGCGTGCACAAAACATGTATATAAAAGCAAGTCACGCATAGTTTCCCTTGTGATTGCTTTAAACTTTGTCTAAACATCTTTGGATTTGTTGTGTTTCGATTTTACTTTCTACTTGTTTTATTGCCAATTTATTTTCACCTCGTATCAAGTTTATAAAATATATGTTTCGATGGTGTTACTTATTTCACATTTGTCAAAAAAGAGATGTAAGAACATGTTTGGATGCAAAAAGAGATTAAAGAAAATATAATTACATTTTCTGGAAACGCTCCTGTATACAAAATACTAGAAAGAACCCATATAAATAAGGATGTTTCAATAATATCAAGAAAAACTAACTTCAGCAGGGTAGTCTCTCTGGTAAGCATTAATGAATTTCTTTCCGGATCCTATTTTTTTAATGGAAACCTACATTGAGTAGAAGAAATCAAAATGCAATATTCCACTGATACTCCAACAAAAAAACAATAACGTCTTTCGAAACAAGCCCATTACTCCCAGTTTTCTTTCAAAGATTCTTACTAGCTACCTCTTATGCTACAGTGACAACTTTGGTTGAAAACAAAAAATTTCTAGATGGACTTTTGCGTAAGAATCTAGCACTAACACTAGCACGCTGAAGTAATATTAGTGACAAATGTATTTTTTCAGTGGCGCTACAAAACTAATGAATAAAAATGACTATGATAATGTTAAATTCTAAGTATTAATGAAAATAACTGGAAAATCCCTTTCTGGCTGCCTTCATGTTTCTACAAACATAATCTCAAAGGGTTTCATCTGAAGCAACACTGTTTGCAAGGTGATGTAGATGGTCCTAAGCAAACAGGGAATGAAGTAGTAAGGGAGAGGCAAATGGTCATATAAAATGTAAAATAAGATTACGAAAGGAAAGATGTGAGATTCAGGAAAGGAATGGCAGGTAGACATAAGAAGGACAGACATCTTTTCATTTAATTCATGAAAAATAATAAGAGAAATAAAAAACAAAATTTCCATGCCGCATTACAGGCAATGTATCTCAAAGAATCATCAGTAATCCATGGCTCGTATAAAAAAGAAAAGATGGCACGGATAATTTAAAAAATTGATGACTAAACCTTAGCGGCTTTGTCTTTTTGACATTCAGGTAGCATACTTCAAATTTCTATTTTAATAGCTGATTCAACAAAGGATATAAAAAAATGAATTGATGAAGTCTAGCACCTTTAAACTCCTACCCACTATATATTTTTGTACAGCAATCAAAACTATACTAGTTTTACAATAATCACCTTTTATCAATTTTTCAATGAAACAGGCTCTACAATAACAAAGGCAGGTGAAATGCTATTTCCAGTTATGCAGTTTTTGAAGGCCAAGAGGCCCTTATGTAGTGTATTTCAGTGCCAAGCAGTTTGGTTTGGTTTGGGATTTTTTCTTCTTCTTTTTTTTTTTTTTGTGCATATTGCTAAATAAATCTAACTAACGACTTCCACTCTTTGGCACCCTTGACCCACAAAATAACTTGGCCACATAAAAATGTATGAGAGAAAAATTGAATCATTAAAACAGAGGCAGAAGAGTGTCAACTTTTATATTTTAATTAAAAGAGTCTTTTATCTCCAAAAAAGTAGCATGCATTTAGTCATTTAATAGTACTCATTAGCTGCTTGTGAAACGAGCAAAAAACACAACGCCCTATAATGGGAATGGTGTTGGCTAATAATGTGTATGTTAGACATAAACACATGAAAAGATCCTCCAGTAGGCATACATTTCATATTATATTCTAGAATAAAATCTCCAAAATGATATGAAATTCCAGCATCAGCCTTCTAATTATTTATAAATCTTAGTCCTCAATAACATTGTTGCAAGCGTACATATCATTTGACATGACGAAAATCCATTATTATAGATTGGTTGTGCATTAAAAAACTATTAAGTTATTCAACAATTGGAAGTTAAAAATTATCAAGGCAATCATTTACATAGCTTGTCTAGGCTTTGTAAAATTTTTAGATTTAAAAGAATGAACTCTTCACAAGAAGCCCCGCAGAAAACATTATTCATTGATGAATTAGATATAACAAGCATCTTAAACTAACTCCTCTGTTTAAAAATATGTATGGAATTAAAGAAACAATAAGAAAGGGATGAATTGATGTGTATGGCACTTAAAAATTTCTTCGCAAAATCCTTCCAAACTTAAATTCTAAAGATAAGCAAATGGAATAATATGTAATCAAATTACATAAACAACAATTAAAGTAATAGAGTACAAAATATAGATTATACTAAAACAATAGTGACTAATCAAAAAGCATTAACACAAACAAAAAAAAAGCAAATCAGCCTACAAGACCAAACATACAAGCATCCACAAAGAAAAATAGGTCACAACAAGTATAAGATCCAAAATTTCTCTCCTTTTTCTCCCGCTACTAAGCCGCATGACCCACCTTCCTCTTTTCATCATGTGAATCACAAATCTCGTGATGTCGTTCAATGTCACCATCCCGATCTGAACTCCCATGATACTTTCTTTCCTTTTTCTCCTTCCCGCTCTTAGCAAAGCCTGTACACTCGTTATAAGGAGGATCGAATCCAATGCACAATAGTCCTCCCCATCGCAACAATTGAAAGCTCTTTCCTCCTCCCAAACCCTAGACGCAGCTCATTAGTTCCCTTGCCTTGCCTGTTAACTAAAGTTGAGAGTCGAACCATTCTCCTCCTTCCTCGGCCGATCAAGCATTATAAGCTCCCACTTCCCCTTACTTCATGCATCTCTTATTTTAATACAATTTTATTCACTGTATTTGCATACATACATTCATAATCATATATGTAAGCATGAGTATGTATGTATGTATATATATAGTAAATACATTTTTATTATGATAAACTATATTCAAGTTAAATTAATTAATTTCTAACTTTCTTTCAAAATTATAATAATAGTAATTTAAATAATAACAATAATGAATAATTAGTTAAGTGTTAGTACTTGCATAATTGTTAATGTTTGGAAGTCTAATTGGAATAGAACTTACTAATTGATGTTGGTTGAGCCGCTAAAATTTATAAGAGTTTTATTATCCACCTCGAGTTAAATAGCCAGTATTTATTATGGGATAAATGTACACTTCATTATTAGGGGCATTATTCTTTATATGTGTATTAGATTCTTAGTTAATTGCATATTTGTCAACTATTTCCTTCAAATTATATTTATATATTTGCAGTAGATTTTATTTTTGGTTCATATTGACCATCAAATAATTAATCTTATTTTAGTGTTGCATATTCATATTTAATTATTCGCATTTCATGATTTCAATATTTCTTATTTCTTTTATAGTTCTGGTATGTTAAATTGTGTTCTTGCAAATTCATAATTGTACATAAATATTAATGGACATGTTATAGTTATATCTCTGTACTTTGATTGTGATGCATGAAATATACAAGATAATATAATTTTATTATATTATTATTAAACTATTTTGTTATGACTAACCAAACCGACAAGTTCTCGAATTGGATTTCTATGAATTGGTTTCATTATTCAATGTATCGTCGGAAATCAACTATATATAAATAAGTACTCACACACTCGTATATTATGAGGTGGTGTTAAAAAATTATTAAATCCTACAGGTAAAAGCACATATGATATTAAGGCATACAAATAGTTACATAGTAGTGCATGAGTTTAATTTACTCCTATTCATGATCATAAACTTGTGATAATCTTTTTTACAAATCCTGTTATAGATACAGAAATCATCCATTTTTATTGTTAATATTACATGCATCATTCATTTTGTTATTTATGTTTTAATAAATAGTAGTTAATTACTAAGTTTGATTTGTAAAACTCACTTGCTGAATTTTTAAAAAGCAGGTTGTATTCAGTGCTTGAAAGATCGCTTTCCATCTGATCAAGCTTACCAAATAAACTGTACTTTTGGGTTTTATTCATTAGTTTTTGTATTTCCTTTTTAGATTTGGGTAATTATTTGTCTATTGTCATTTCATTTCATTTCAATTGGTTTCATATTTTCCTTCAGTGGTATCGGTTATTAGTTTTTTATTTATGAAATAAAATTTATCTTTTGTTGTTTATTTTTGTTAATATTTGCATATTTTTTCTTTTGAGAATACAAAAAAATATTCAATTCATTTCATCATCTCTTATGTTGTCGTGGTGTACCATCTTTCGGACCCGAGATGTCAAAAGAACTTTAATCAATGTTAAGAGTGCGAGTACACAATTTTGAACACATGTAAGAAAATCTACTCAAATACAACAGCATGCTAGTATTTCAAGCATGTATCACCATATAAGAATGCATGACAAACTAACTAACAGAGCATTATCGCCATATAAATAAAATTGGCTTGCTATGATAGTCACAACAGATTTATAATTGCTGAACGAGAAATTCAGAAAGCACAAAAGACGTTATCACACAAATTAAAAGAGGTACCTGTAAGTTTTGCCCACACAACATCCCCAGGTTCAGGCACATCACAATCGTCAGAAATGACAGCTAATGAGAGCATTTCATAATGATCACGTTCCTTCTTCTTCAGATTCAATTTTTGGATCTCCATAGAAGAAACATGAAATTGTATCTTCTCGTGCACAAGAACAAGATGTTCTTCATCCCCATCATTATACTTAACCTGTAATTTTTTGTATCAGATAAATGGGTGGGTGAAGTGTCTGTATTTAAAAGAAAACAAAAGGAAGGATCGTATCCAAGTTATTTGTGATTATGCATATACAATAGCCCTCTTTCAAAGATTATAATATTTATAGAGCTTATGATAATGAGAATGATAGTCCATAGGTTTACATTTAATGCTGAAGTTATTATTTCTAAAGAACTTATTTGATTGTTTGAAATTAGAAAATATATTGAGAAGAATTGCTCTACTAGAATTATACATTTAGTTAAATGTAATTAAAAATCAAAATAAATTTTCAACCCTACAAACACCTTCAAAATCTTTCAAAAAGTGAGTGTTAATTTTCATTTACACAATCAAAATGAGTGAAAACAAAATCAACACTTTCTAAAACCTCCTTTCTAACAATAAGCAAGCAAATCGGCCGCATATGTGATTATTTCCCAGTAAAATATATCTCATTTGAGCAAAGTACCAATCACACAAATATCTTATAATCAGACATTTATCTTAATATTATATAGCAGAAAACCAAAAACCATGTAATTTACTCAACCCCTTGAAATTGAATTCTAAAATACAAGCAGCACTACAATGCTTAAAAGTAAGAAGGTACCCTAGAATTTTCAGTATATGGAATACTGCAATTTGTATAAGGTATATGGTCAAGTTTAAAGAACAACTGTATTCGGGCAGCTATCAAGGTTAAGCAACTTAAAGCAGAACAATGAAGCAGCATTCAACATAAGATGATGCATAACATGCTTTAGTAACATTCAAATCAAATAATGAAGCAATACTTAACATAGTAAACTAAGAAAGAAAAAGTCACACCAACAAATATAGGTGGAACAATGTCTTTTTTCAGTAGAAACAGCTGTATGAGGAAACAAAGGGGATTAGGGAGGATGAAGTTCTCCAATCCAAGCCATTCAATCCAAAGAACCCACTTTGAATGGCTGAATAAATTCTATCAAAATCACTTTTTTTTTTTCAAAACCGCTATGGTTTTGAAAAAAAATAATCTCACTGCCAAATTAATTTGATGGATGGAATTTCAGAACTTTACCCACCAATCAGTCATAGTTAGAGAGGATCTTAAACCCAAATATCAGTATCAATAATGTAATAAATAAGCTCATACATGATGCCGAAGGCTGTCAGAATCATAGGACACAACAGAGCCCTTGTACCAGCCATCGTCCAGAGGCCAGAAAACCTGCAATACAGCAAAATTTCTGATATTAATTCATCCCAATACGCCTAACCAGACGTAAAGGTTAAGAACTTCTAATTTATCTGCCAACAGATCGCTTACTTTGCATGCCAGGCCAACAAATCGATATGGATCCGTCCCCTCAAAATCCAACCTTTAACCAAAAAAATATTTTTTTTTTAATCTTAGTTTTGATGCCCACGGATTAAAATGGAGAAGTTGAAATTCCAAATAACAGTTCTAGGCCAAATAAATAAAAAAAAATTGATACTAACTCGACCCATTTCTTTCCAATGCGAGAATCAGAAGAATCCTTCAGACTGCAGCGACTAATCTTTCTTTCCACATGAGTCTTGATCCTTAACAATCTTCTGCTCCCTCTCCTTCGAGCCTCACCTGATGCATTGCCATTCTGATCAGCAAGCACAGCTCCAAGGTTCAGCAGCTCGAATCTCACCCTCCTCCGATTCTTTATCCTACTCCGATCACCAACAGAATCCCCCTCGGCTCCTGGTGGATTCCCATCATTTACCTCCTTCTCCCGGTTCTCTTTTTCCTTATCATTCTCCGACTCCACATCACTAAGAACTTCAGTCTTCACTATCGGGACAGCAGGGATATCGGGTTCTTCCATTTCCGGCATTCCCCGTGGCTTCTTAATTCGTCGGCTGTACACAAAAATCGGATTGTCAGCATTGCCCCAGCGAAGCCCTCCATGGCAGAGACCAGTCAGCTGCTTTTCGTCCCCGGCGTCCTTCTCCTCTTCATCCACGACAATCTTTCGCGCCCTAACTTTCTTAGAGACAACATTGGATGACCCACTGGAGCTGACGCAGGGAGTAGTGGAGGAATACACATGACGGATCGGTAGGTATCTCACCGGATGATCGACCTCCTCCTCCTCGTGGATGAACTTTTCAGGCATAGGCGGCATTGGAATCAAAGAAGCCCGGAGGAAGGGTTCATAGAAGAGGAAGGGCTAGGGTTTTCGCCGTTGTACCCTTACCAGGGTAAGGCTTTTTTCCCAAAACCGCTATTTTCCCGCCCCGGCCGTGATTTGGTAACTTCAAAAGCGGCTCTTTTTCTTTAGCCCTGATTGTTATTTATAGCCAGTGTGATTCAGCTACCATAGCCCCTTAAAATTCATGGCCGGATTTCTCTGCCAATCAACACAAAAATTATAACTGAATCAGGATTTGATTAAAAAAGAAGTTTTTTGTAGAAATTCCTCCTTCCTCTGTCATGTTGATCTGCTGGGGAAACACAAATTTCTTTTCTCCTCCTGAGATCTGCTTCTTTCTTCTCAGATTTGTAGTTAAGGTTGTTCTTTTGAAACAAGATAAGACATATAATCATAAGTACTGTTCCAGAGTTAAGCATTTATACTCTTCAAGAATTTATTATCATTTTCGCTTGTTGAAATTTATAGAAATGTGGAGGAGGGAAAGAAAATAACTAGCTGATAAGATATATTGTGCGATAGGAACCATTTGGTTTCCTATAGGCACAACTATTTTCAATAAGACTAGTACTATTATTATTTGGTTGGTTTGATGTAATTTGAAAATTGTATGAATTTTAAACTCTACAAACTTTTAGAATGCAATGATTTGTTTTCACAAATGAAATGATTGAAGGACAACTTCTTAAAACATTCTTTTTATCTACAATCAATTGAATGTATGTTGATTTTTGTTTAATTTGGTTGCTTTGTTAGATGTAATTTATGGCATGTTTCAATTGTCATAAAAGAACTACATGTTGAAGTTAGTTTAAAAAAGGAAACATTAAGAGTGTAAATTTGAAGTGATCTAAATTACAAGTAAATCGGAGTTTGGCTAGACTATCTTACTCCATAGACAAAAGAGAGGATAATTTTAATTCTAGGTGATTGCTAAATTGTTTCATTTTGTAAAGTTTAAGAAAATGTTTTAAATTGATTTTTTTTTTTAATCTATCATTTATTTGAATGTGGTTAGAACTCAACCTTAATTTCAAACTCCCAAAACCAACTAAAAAATGCTCTAAAATATAAGTATTTCACATGTGAAAAGCAAGGAGTCATTTTCTCTAACATATTTTCTATCTACAATCGAACAAATTAGTCCTAATTAACATTTAATTCATATGGCTCATTTCATTTCTTGGGGCATAGAAACATATTTAATGATGCTTTATGGATTGCGAAGTACGGTGAAACGTACTTAAAAATCAATATTAAGAATACTCTTAACATTCTCAAAAGCAATGAACTTATAGCCACATGATGTACAAGGAATTTTATCATTTTCTAAAGCATGCTTCCTTCTTCAAGAAACCAAATAAGTAAAATAATAATAATAATAATAATAATATTGAAACGAAAGCAATTTATTTCATATATAATATTACTTTCAAAACAACGGACTAACTCTAGATGTAATAAATGTTTGTTTTCATGTTTTAATGTTTAAAGTTAAAAATGCATGTTCTTAACAACCACGAAATTTATTATTTTGAAATCGCCATCAATTTTGATCATTCGAAAGTCTTTTCAAAGGGAATTATTTTAGGGGCATTTACATATGTACCGCACAATTCTCATGTATTTACATTTCTAACTCATAAACATTCATATTTATATGCCTACCACTCAAATTTGCACCACACATCAAAAATACAAAGATCGTTATTTTTTTAAAAGTGAAATACACATTTTCATTCTTAGTTTAAGACACCAAGGTGCTACAACTTTAAATATAAGTGTAAGTAGAAAAGAATTGTGTGGTGTGTAAATGAATAACCCAATGTTTTATATTCATTCAGAAAACGAGCAGAAAGAAAATCTTAACTTTCTAAAAATACATGTTCCAATTACATGCAACCTAGTAAACCATAAATACCATTGAACCAACAATATTAGAAACAATCAACAACAAATGATGCTTGAGAAGGAACTGCAGTGATTTTCTAGCTCTCCGGCAGTGAAATGCATGAAAAGTATATAAATATATAAAGCATGCTCCATAATGTTATGCTGAAGCCGTTAGATCAGCTTTAACAAAGAAAAGAGGGTCTGGATCTCATGGATGTAGATAAACAATGTATATTCAGCATGGTCACAAGCCGCAACATGATTAATTAGAGCAAAATGTTTGTTGAACAAGTTAGCTTATGGTATTGTGATCTTATCAAGCAAATTTTGGGCTTAACAAGGGAGAACTTTGGTATATAGGATAAAATTGCAAATCTTCAGCATAATATATATGATTTTTGGTCTTTACCATATCAAGTATGTAGAGGTTGTGAATCAAGGAATGTGGACTATGAATGAGAAGCCTAATTTCAGTGGACATAATGACATCCTTTATACTTTTTCAACCTCATGTTGCATTTTAATTAGCTAGCACTCATGATTTAAAAACTATGTACTATGAGGTAGACAAACTTGTTGGAAAAAAGAAATGCGGTAGCAATATACTCTAGAAGTTATATAAAAGATTTCCTTTATATGTTGAAAAATATCATATTTATTTAGCAGTTTACCATGATAAAATTACTTTTGTTGCATTCCTTAAGTTAAATATGGTTAGTATGGTGGCCAAGGGTAACAATTATATTGTTCGCTTGAGAAGCAAAACATGTCATGGACCAATGATAAGTTTTACACAATTATGTTAGATGGGAAAGTGTGGATCACTATAGAAAAATCAATTAAAACTAGGTAAAAAAGGCGGAAATTTTCGGTTGGTTATTTCCGACTAATTATATGACTGAATCGCCAACATAAAATTAATAGCTAAAAAACAAACAGAATACTAATTGATTTATAGTTAATTTGGTTTGGCTAATTTTTAGTCAAAAATCAGATAAAAATATTATCGGTCGATGTACCCGATTGAAAATAAATCCGCATATTTTCGACTAACATACCAGCGAAATTGCATCGGCGTTCAATAACCAAATACACGGCTAAATACAAGCTTAAGTATTCCAGTTGAAAAGCCGACGAACTTTTTCAAACTGTTTATAATTTACTTTTTTTTTCGGCTGAATCAACGGCTTCAAATTCAGTCATAAAAATTTTTCAACTAAAATCATTGTCGATTTTATGCCTTCTTGATGTTTGATATCGAATTTGAGGGTCAAAACCCTCATTTTTCTTCCCCCTCTGCGAATTATCTCTCTTGGCGACGACACCCCGTGCCCTAACGAGCTCATGAGCGGGCTAGCGAGGATCTTTCTACTTGATTTCTTTATCATATCTAATGTAAAATTCACTTTTGAGCTTGAACCAAAGTTTTTTTTTCAGAATTTGTATGTTATGTTTCTAGATTTAGGTTTAAATTTATTTGAGAGAATTTTTAAAAATGGTTAAATTTGTTAACTTCATTTCTTTTTTTTTACCATGTGTTTGTGTTAAGGTTCTCTCATATTATTTCAATTAAAATTTTTATGTCGAGTATGTTAAAGATGTGCTAGTTATAAAACCTAAAGCTTACATGTTCAATACTTATGGATTTACATATCAAACACCTAATGTTTGATACAAAATTTTGCATAAAAATATAACCAAAAAAGTCGTATTTTTGATGTTATGTTATATAGTTGAGTGTTTTAAAAGTAAATATTAAAGTTTAGGTGTTAGATATGTAAATACATAAGAATTGTGTGGTATGTTGATTTGCGCTGCTGTGAAGCACGCTTCAACCACGTAAGTATACGTGTTGAACAAGTAGTAGATGTATCTTGTTAATACGTGTATCGATCTCACAGATAACTAGTTAACATCTAAAAAGGTTAAAGTTCTAATTTACTAATCCTAGCTAGTTTGAAGTGTTGAATGTTTGTGAATTTTAAAAGTCTGTAATCCTAATTTTGCAAAAATAAAACCTAAGAAACAAAAGTAGAATTTTCTATAAAGTAAAGGAACCTTCTTTGAATTTGACCTAAGAAACCTATCCAATTGATTTCAAATGTAGTTGACAATCAGGAGCAAATATACTCATTAGCCTCTTCCAAGATTATGAAACGTATTGAAATTTCATATTATAATTTAGTATCATAAACCATATGAATACTCCCAAGGGTTTGTGTTTTCATATTGATTGCAGAATTCTAGCAGCAATATTCTTATTCTCCTAGACGAGTTTGTTATCTTAGTTGTTCCACTAGTCTTCTTCAGTCGTACTATATCACAACAAATTTTAATGTTCCAATTGGTCAAATTGGATCTAAGGGAGATAAAATATTAGTCCTTAATTATAAGAGATGAATACAACAGAAATTCCATCGATAAAAGTAAAATCAAGTTTATACAAAAGTAAGTATAATCAGATTCGATTGATACTTGTTATGCACCACAAGATTTCTTCCTTCTACAATGAACTCCTTCATGCATTCTCATACTCTTACAATAGAGAATATTCACTCTAACAAACTCACTTACACTCCTCACACACTTGCCCTCAAAACCCTCACCTACCTTCTCTAAGAGTCTAAGTATCTCAAATGAAGCGTGGGAACCAGATTCCTTTGAATTTTCACATATTAAAGTGTTTGGACTGCCAAATAGACCTATGAACCGCAAAAATTGTCTAAAGTCAATTCTAGGCACCTAGGCGCAACAGCTTGGGGTGTTGAGTTTTTTGGGCTTTCAGTCTGGAATCTTGGAAGGAATTTCTCTTCAAGAGCTTTGGTGTCAAGTTGGACTGCCAAGTTTTCTGGTTGAGGCACCTATTCGCCAAGGCTGAGAACCTACCTTCCACCTTCTCTGTTATTCACGAGATCGCAGGATGGAAGGGTTTGAGTGCCCAGGTGCCCGTGGCGAGAACTGTCTTTCTAACTCCTATGTATCTTGGAGAAATGGGGAGCTGGCTCAGACTCTTGAGTATTAGTCTAGCACTTAGCATGAATTTGCTCATTTTGTCTCCCTTGCTATCTTTCAACTAGTATACTGCATAAACAAACAATACACCTAGGAAAAGCATAAAAATGAGTTAGGTAACCTACAAAACACACGAAATATTACATCACATTTACTATATGCCATATGCAAGGTGTAAATGAGAAGCCTCAAGCTTAATAAATTAATTGAGCTTGAGCTTAATTTTACAGGTAAGAGCCGGCTTATTTATTATGAACGAGAAAAGATAATATTAATATTTGAGTGTATTTTATATTTATATTTTCTAAAACAAGTTAGATCACGAGCTAACAGGTCAAAACGGGACTAGTTTGAGCTTAGTTTGTTAACTCATCGAGCTTATCTCACTAGCCATTTATCGAGCCAAACTAGAGTCGGCTTACTAGTTGGCTCGGCTCATATATGCATACTCCCCTATACATAAGATTAGAATTCGAGATTGGTTGAGGTAGGGTCTGCGAAATGTGCATGGATCATTCTACATGGGATTAATTTAATGAAGATTTACTTACCAACCCCTCAATTCCTATGTATTTTCATATCTAAAACTTAAACTTCAATTTTTGCATACATACCACCTTACCGATACATGAAAAGTTTTATTTCACTTTATAAAAGTTAAAATAACGGTACTTATATGTGACATTAAAAAAAGGTATAGTTAAGTGTTAGATATGTAAATACATTGGAATTGTGTGCAATGTATGTAAATGCCCCTTATATTTTTTGCTTAGATGCAAGTATGTAAGTTTAGGTGTTAGACATGTACATATAAAAGAATTGTGTGGTATATATGTAAATGCCTCTTCTTTTCATTTTTTTATTTAACATTTCACACCACTCAATTCTAACGTATTTACAAAGATGTATGACACAGTCGCCAAGACTTAAATTTCTTACATGCAAACCACTTTACCTATGATTGGAAAAATGTATTTTAATTTTGGACAATTTACGTACATACCACTTAATTCCTATGAATTAACATATCTATCACCTAAACATCATTTTTTTTTATACATGCCACCTTAGCTATGTGTGAAAAGATGTATTTCACTATATAAAAGTTAAAATGGTGGAATTTTTATGTGATATGAAAGAGTTGAGCGTTGCTTAAGTGCTTATCTATCTAAGACCTCAGTTTCAATTGTTACATACATACCTATATTTGAAAAGATTTATACTCATAAGTTAAATGTGCTAGTGCTAAAATATATAGGTTGTTAATAGACATCCATAATATAAGGTCATTGATGTATAATAGATTATATCCGGTTAAAAAAAATATAAATGGTTAGTTCTTAAAGAATGTTGAGTCTTTCGTGCAAGAAGCATCGTAGCTTTTTGCTTATTTTTAAGAGGGTAAATTTTGATGCCCATATATATGAAGTACCAAAGTGCCGACCAAGGACTTCATCTTTCGCTTCATCGATTGGACTGCTAGATGGATGTTCAAGTGGTGGCATGCGACGTCGTTCGTGGTCCTCGACATCACAACGGTGGACCAAGCAAAAATGTTTTAGTGGTCTTAGAGAGTATTTAAATTTTGATCTTGAATCAAAAGCTTCACTTATCATAAAAAAAAAATTTTATTGAGCTCGCCCTCGGTCTTCAAGATTTAGTGGGTGGTCTTACTAGCCTCAAGTCTCCCATCGTGCCAGTTGTCAGATTTGGGCTACTGCTTCTCGATACTGTTGAGCGCCTAGAGGTAGCGGATGCAAGATTAATCAAGATTGGCTCAGACAATAATCACTTCCCATTGCTCGAGAACTTCACTTTCACATGCTAAGTCAAGGTAAGGGCATAGGAGTTGAGCAGGGGGGCGACCGAAACTGGCATTATAAGTGGGTGTCAAGTCAACCACTCTGAAATCCTCTATGTTGGAAAATTGTTTATCATTTTCTTCTTACGTGACCAACAGAGAGATTGTTCCCAACGCTTCTTTCCACTTGTCCAAAAAAACCATAAAGTGGGCATGCTTTCACGATTAGTTAGTAACTTCCAGGAGTCTTCTTATCGAATACTGATTTGAACAAAATGTTCACTGAGTTGTCAGTGTCGATAAGGATACCACCAATATGGTTATTATTGATTCACATGGTGATTATGATGGTGTCATTGTAAGGATTCCCCCTTAAGGAGTGGATCCTTATTAGTGAAGGTGATTGAGGGACGCGAGCTGCATTTGGGAGAGAGGGTGGATATGCATAATCTTCTTTAAGCTGGCTGGACGAGATGAGTCTTACCTCCTTCGAAGAAGGCATTAACTATGTCAACGATGTGGATGGTATAGGCTTGGACTGAAGCGTTACAAAATTTCTTCTATTGGAATTTTTCTTTATTACTGGATCATTGCTTTTGAAGGTAGAAACTTCTTAAGATTCCAAGCCTTGATCAGCTCCTTAATCAGCCTTAGAGCTATTGGCATTCCTCCGTGTCGCGGTCTTGGTTCTCGTGGTAGGCAGAGTACTTCTTGGGATCCCAGAGGTGAGCTACAATTTTCATTGGGAATGCTCTCTTAAAGTAATCTTTATTTTGGATAGTCCCTACTATCTAGACCATCGACACTCTCAATAGAGTTTTCTTGGATAATTCATGGTTGGGCAGCAGTTACTCATTGTACAAAGCTAGCCGCTAGTCAGGATATCAAGTTGACTACCTCAATCGAATGTTCTATCAGATGCTCTATGAATCTAGTGTGGTCGGGTGTCTTCATATTGTAGAAAGAAGAACGAACGTGAATCATCCCTCAATCTCTACATGTTGCCTTGGGGAGGCAGACACTCTTCTGTGGGCGACTAGTGGAGGAGTCTGCTATGGAAGAAATGGTGGTAGAGTTATACTCCTCAACTGATATATAGTTGTTAACCATCTCCAACAACTCAAGTAGTGTCTTCAATCTTTGCATATCGAAATCTTACTAAATGGGTCTTTCCTTTAACAAGGAGGCATGAGCTTTTGTGGACTCCAGATATCGCATGTGAGAAACAAGTGAAGGCTATTGTTTTGTATCTGCCGATATGCTGGAGAGCCTAAAAGTTTTTATTATGATTTTGAGCGATGGTAAATAAACTGTATCACAAACAATCATTTGAAATCAATGAATAAGAAGACAGTCCCAATAGTAATGCATTGAACCACATGAGTGTCGACTCCCTCAATGTGGTAAAGAAGAGACGACATTTCACCGCGACAATGATCTTCAGTAGATACACAATCAGCTCAAACAAGGATATATGGTTGGTAGGATCGGTCCTTCCCTAATAAGACTCCAATTTCAAGATTTTGAACCTCTCTGGGGGCTCATCCTCAGATATTTATTGAAAGAATGCATTCTCTAGCTATATATTATCTCAGTATGCTCAAATTGATGTCATTTGATTTGCGCCAACCCAACACTATCGAAGTACTGGGAGTTTCCTTCTCTTTCCATGACTAGGGGGCTCTTCGGTTGTTGGTGTTGGCCCTTCCTCTTGGGGGTACTGCTCTCCTCTACCAGCTAGCGCATTTCAGACGGCATCCCACATTTGATCCTTCAACTCTTACATCTACTAGCTAACAAACTCTCAATTAAACTTCATGTTATCGGTGTCTCTGTTATGATTTTCTTCTCTATGAGTTGCTCCGCTTCTTGTTGTTACATAATCTACGCTCACCGCACCTTTAAGAATATTAAAGCTTGATTTGTTTGTGAATCACACCTCAAGAAATAAAGTATAAGAATAGAGAGAGAGAAAGAGAGAGAGAGAGAGAGAGA